GGGGGGCTTCCGGCATCTAGCAGAGGCAGGGATGCCACTAAGCATCCTACAATGCACAGGACAGTTCCCAAAACAATGAATTAATGGGGCCCAAGCATCAATAGTGCTGAGGTTGAAAACCCTGGTCTAAAGGAAAAGAAGGCCCCACTGACCCCAACCACAGTGTTAGGTGCAAAGCTGAAATGCCAGATTCCGGGGGAAAGCAAAGGCTAAGTGCTACACACACATCTTGCAAAAGAAATCAAAAGACCGGTGGCAAACTCAGTGGTCAGAAAGAGGCGAAGGGTCTGAGTCTTACCCCCCACCCCAGTACATCTGTCCTCTTTTTACTGTATCTTTTTATTGTATGTATGCTGAAGAATTCTTTGTGATACACACTTTATTTTATGTACTTCCTATAACAACCAGAGAGCTGAGTCTTGTTATCACCACTATTTTATAGTCAAGAAAACTGAGGCACAGAGAGTTCTAACGTGGTCAAAGTGAAACAAGGAATTCCCACCCAGGCATCTGGCTCTAAAGCCCTAGGTTTTAACCACTGCACTATTCTGTCTCTCTCAGTCCCACAAACAAGCCCAGAGTGAGACTATCAACAAAGGTGACTTCATGCTGCCTGATGCCCACTATCACAGGAACAGACTCCCAGAAGCCAGACACCAGGAAGCCAAATTGGAGATTATCATTGATTTTAGAGAAGACCAGGTCTGAGCTACGAAAACAATTTCAGTATCAAGTCTAAACTCTAAGGAGAATGCAGGATCAGAGAACAAGGAGAGAGGCGGCTTTGGGGAGAGTGCTTTGCAGGATGAGACGAGCTTGAGAAATAAGTTGAGCCATGAAGTCAGAAGATGAGCCTCTGATGATGAGGCCAAGCTATATGTAGCAGGTGTACAGAAATGGCAGAGACATGAGCTAGGCTGGTGAGCGCTAGAGCTGAAAGATGTGGTTAGTGCTCTTCACGCAGTGCCCACTTTAGACAATACTCCCAGGCATCAGGGCTTACAAAAGTTGAACACCTTCAGAGAAGGTCTCCTCAAACCTTGGGAACATGGCAACTGCAGCCCCAAAGTCAGGAGATGTTGCGTTAATAAAGAGGGGTGAATTGGGAGTGAAAAGTTAAGGAGCCACTAAGCACCACAAACTGGACTGGGTGCCTTATACACCTTCCCTCATTTAACCCTAATAACTCATGGCCTGGCAATCATTATCACTTTCCAGATGACACAACAGGTCCCAAGAAGCTTAAGCACCTGGGCAGAGAGCAGGGTTACATGCTGTAGGAGAGTATGGATTTGGATCCATACTTCTGCTGATACCAAACGTCATGCTCTTCTTCTTACAGGACGCTCTGAAGTCTGTCATCTCTGCCCAAGTCCAAGCTCTATGAAACCCAAATTTATTCACAACAGGAAGACAAAGACTTCAACAAGATACCATTATGTCATTTATTTGATTGGGGCCAAGGGCACAAAGTTTCAGGAAGTCGTTATCATGTATGGTTCCAGATCCAAAATCCATAGCAAAGACACTTTTATCTTTTGTGGCTTTGGGAAATAATTTACTTCTGCCACGTCATGACTCTGGGCAGCACCCATCCCACAGAAGACAGCCCTCCCACATTTGAGAACTGCCCTCAAGTCCAGCTGTCCATCCAGGAGACTCAGACATGCCCTGGCCCATGTAAGCAATCCCGCCTGGCTCCCTCTTGTGCCCCCAAAGAAGCCCACAACCAGCTGGTTGAGGTATGTGGCCACAGACCAGATCATAACTCTCTGGGCCTCACTTTCCATCCCTGTACCTACATCAAAGGATTACACAAGTTACTATGTAAAAAGTGCTGATAATAATTCATAATCAATATTCAACCTGTGGTACCTATTGTTATTTCTATGCCCTCAATTTATCCAAAGACAATCATCAGAGATGTGTTCAGAGATTGAATCACAGAATCATCTGAATAGTGTTGATCATGGCAAAAAAAAAAAAAAATGTCAAAAACAAACTAGAAGATTAATCACAGGAGAAATGAGATAAGGGACCTCCATATAGCACAGTAGGACGCAACAGCTGAAAGTTACTCAAGAGAAAAGAACATCTACTGGCAAGGGAAAAATGTTTGCAACATATTGTCACTACTTCACAAACTGCCATAAACTGTCCCCAAGAATAGACAGGAGAGTGAACTCACATCCCCAGAAACCGGAGATTTCTTTATGGTCTCCTGTATTTGCTGAAAACATTCTGGATGCAAATTTGGTATCTAATCTACATTATGTCCATATTTGTTTGTTTCCAAAGAACATTAGAAAATACTTCCCACTATAAGTCAATCAGAGAAAGACATGTATCATATGATCTCACTGATATGAGGAATTCTTAATCTCAGGAAACAAACTGAGGGTTGCTGTAGTGGTGGGGGGTGGGAGGGATGGGGTGGCTGGGTGACAGACATTGGGGAGGGTATGTGCTATGGTGAGTGCTGTGAATTGTGCAAGACTGTTGAATCACAGATCTGTACTTCTGAAACAAATAATGCAATATATGTTAAAAAAAAAAAAAAGGAAGAAGAAGAAGACAGCAGGAGGGGAAGAATGAAGGGGGGGAAATCAGAGGGGGAGACGAACCATGAGAGACTATGGACTCTGAAAAACAAACAGGGTTGCTGGAGTGGTGGAGGGTGGGAGGCATGGGGCGGCTGGGTGACAGACACTGGGGAGGGTATGTGCTATGGTGAGCGCTGTGAATTGTGTAAGACTGATGAATCACAGACCTATACCTCTGAAACAAATAATACATTATATGTTTAAAAAAAAAAAAGATAGTAGGAGGGGAAAAATGAAGGGGGGGAAATCGGAGGGGGAGACGAACCACGAGAGACTATGGACTCTGAGAAACAAACTGAGGGTTCTAGAGGGGAGGGGGGTGGGGGGATGGGTTAGCCCGGTGATGGGTATTAAAGAGGGCACGTATTGAATGCAGCACTGGGTGTTACACACAAACAATGAATCATGAAACACTATATCAAAAACTAATGATGTAATATATGGTGACATAATAAAATAAAATTAAAAAAAAAAGAAAGAAAATACTTCCCACTAAGTACAGTGACACTCCAGAAAAAAGCCTCATGTTTATGCTATAACTTTCTGGGGTACCCCTAGGGACGCATTTGCCCCCCCATTGTAATCACACAAAAATATATATATAAGTTACAAAACATGTGTAGCAGGTAATCCTATTTTTGGATGGATGGGAAGGGAGGAAGGGAGAGAGGGAGAGAGGGAGAGAGGGAGAGAGGGAGGGAGGGAGGGAGGGAGGGAGGGAGGGAGGGAGGAAGGAAGGAAGGAAGGAAGGAAGGAAGGAAGGAAGGAAATAAAAACATAAAGACAAAAATCACCATTCAAAATAATTTAGGGGAGTGGAGATTACAGGTAATTTTGCTTTCTTCTTTTATTTATCTATGTTTCCAATTTTTTTAATATAAAAAAAAAACCAACAACAACCACCTGAACTCTGGATTAGGATCCTGCAGCCAGCTGGGGTCTAAGGGCCCCCAGAGCATCAGCATGAGTCCTGTGCAGATCAGCATGAGTGGAGTGAGGGCAGCACAACCTGGAGGTAAAAATTCTGAGCTGTGAGGCCAGGCAGGGCCAAGTGCGTGTGTCTCCCACAACTCACCAGATGGCTGATGATCCCTCAGAACCTCAGACCCCCTGAAATCTGTTCCTAAGTTCTCAGAGTACATGACAAGGTAGGCAGGAAGTGTTTGCTCTCTACCGAACCCATTTACCAAAGAACACAAAGCATAGCCAATAGCTTGTTCTACAGAGGTGTCCTTCAGAGGTGGTCCCCCTGAAGTTTCCAGAAGGGCAGCTACTTAAAAGTAGGCCTCCTCATCTTTCAGTGGACCCACTCCCTTCCTAGGGACCTCCCTGAAAATTGGTTCCTCCTGCACCAGCTACTGAAAGACAGTGTTCAGCTACATATAGGGTCATTTACAATGCATAACTGGGGACTTTATACTGGTTTCCCACTGTCTCTGGAAACAAAAGCCACCTCCACCTCTCCCCCACATCTTCCGCCACTTAACTGCCTATAACAGCGGCTGCCAGTCTTTGTGACGATGCCATATTCTGTGCACTTCTTTGTGATGATTCGTATTCTGTGCACTTCAGTACACATACGCACGGAGTTATGTGTAACAGAAACAAATTGTATGACATAACACTTACCTTTTCTACCTGCAGTAAACCCAGAAAATTTCTAGTCCATCATTTTTTAATGCTGCTCATAACGTACTAAATTGGTTTTATGGCCCATGGTTTTAAACAGACTGCTCTCCAGCAGAGAGATCTAGGTTTTGGTTTTCCAAACTTTGCCCATGTTCTGGGTCATATTAGGTGGAACCAGGTTCGAGTGCCAATATTCAAAGGACCAAAAACAGTATTTCATATGGTTCAACCTAAAAGTATATATGAGCCACAGTAGGGGACTCACCTGCCCAATACACCTCTAGTACGCTGATTCTATTGATTAATTTTTACAACTAGGCTACACTATGTGCAAAAGACAGATGACACCTGAATTGGACAAGTCACTTAGAGATGGACCAGGCCACACCTTAAGTGGGAATGAAAGGGGCGCCTGGGTGGCTCAGTCGTTAAGCGTCTGCCTTTGGCTCAGGTCATGATCCCAGGGTCCTGGGATCGAGCCCCACATTGGGCTCCCTGCAGGGAGCCTGCTTCTCCCCCTCCCTCTGCCCCTCACCCCACTAACTAGTGCTCTCTCTCTCGTTCTGTGTCAAATAAATAAATAAAATCCTTTTTTTTTAGATTTTATTTATTTATTTGTTACAGAGAGTGAGAGACAGCACACAAGCAAGGAGAGCGTCAGGCAGAGGGAGAAGCAGGCTCCCCACTGAGCAAGGAGCCTGATGTGGGACTCGATCCCAGGACCCTGGGATCATGACCCGAGCCAAAGGCAGACTATAAAATCTCTTTAAGTAAATAAACAAACAAATAAATAGTGGGAATGACAATGACAAATTCACAGGAATGTTGTGAGTTCATATGTGCTGAAGGGCTTTATAACCTAGAAGGTAAACACAATTTTTTTAAATCTTTTAAATCTTAAATCTAAGTACTAACTTATGCCAGTACTCCCTAGCAAAATAAGATGATAAAACAACAGCCAACACTGTTTGAAGGTTTATTTCATGCCAAGAACTTGTTATGTGGATCCAGTTAGTTCGTATTTTCGTTGTCCCCATTTTCCAGATGAGAACAAGCGCAGCTCCGAGCATGAGATTTGTTGGAGGACTCAGGTCTGTCCGACTCCCAAGCCAGTACAATAAGCTCTGGGCAGCAAGCTCCCCCACTACCCACAACCAGCTCCCTGCAGCTCTCCAGGCTTAGGAACAGGACCGCCAGCAAGGTCCGCTCTCAGTGGGGAAGGAAGAACTCCCATGACACAAGGACATGAAAAGAAGGCGACCCTTGGGCCAGAAGCAGGAACTGCAGGATCGCCTTGCTGCCACAGAAACCGGTGGCACAGTCAGCACAGACTCCCCTGGTCTCCCCTCTTCTGCAATTAGAGCCAAGGATTATGTCTTTACTTTTAGTTGGTGGCATTAAACAATGCCTCTTGGCCCTACAGAAAAGGTACCCAGAGACAAGAGGCAGCCTCAGTCAGAGCTGACCAGGTCACAAAACAAAGAGAAATGCTCAAGTCAATGCAAGGAGGACTCTGTTTTTTAAGGAACGCAGTCAATAGTCCTGCTTTCTTGGGGCTAGGACCACACTGGCCACCCTTCAGTCTTATCTCGTGGTCATTTAACCTATATTAATTTAATTATATTCACTGTCAAAAGGGAAATGTAATTTGGTCTTTTTAAGATGTATTTATTTATTTGAGAGAGAGAGAGAAAGCAGGGAATGGGCAGAGGGAGAGGGAGACAGAATCTCAAGCAGACTCCCGTTGAGCGTGAAGCCTGATGCAGGGCTTGATCTCACAACCCTGAGACTGTGACCTGAGCCGAAATCAAGAGTCAGACACTTAACCAACTGAGCCAGCCAGGCACCCCGAGATATGTAATTTAAATTATGCTATCAGGGAAGCATACATTGCTCCACATTATACATTTGAATTAATATATATGCATACGTGTATGTATACATTCCATTGTGGACTTAATTTCTTAAATCTAATTTAAAAGATTTTGTAGGACAATTTTGACAAGTCATAATTATGGCCTCGTGCTCTAATTTTAAAAATCTAACTCTTGAGTAAATGGAATATTCTGTTAAATATTGTTCTTCTATTTCTGTATCCATTTACAAGGAACTTTAAGATAATGTGATCTCAACTTATCCAACTACACTGTGTGAGAAGTACTACTATTATTATTAGCATTTTAGAAATGTGAACACCAAGGATCAGAAAGGTTCAGGCACCTGCCCAAGATCACAGCTAGTTTAGATGGGAGAGCCGGGTTCCAACCAACCAGTCTGGTTCCAAGCTCTACACTCTCTTCACCATCCGGGGATCTTATTTATCCCTGAGTCCCTGAAGAACAAGGGTCACATCTAAAATAGTTGGAAAATACACCTACTTCCAACACAAATGAGAGCCAAAGGACTAACTTCTTTAATTCTCAAAGAGCTTGTATAAATCAATAACACAATAGCAATTTTTTTTTAATGAACAAGGAGTTAACAAAAAAGTAAAGAAAAGAAAGGAAGGAATGCAGATGGTCCAAAACATAGGAAAAAATATTCAACTAATTCAAAGATATAAATAAAAGTCACAGGATACAATTTTTCACCTCTCAGACTGGCATACATTTAAAAAACTTTAACAATCCTCGGGGCACCTGGCTGGCTCAGTCAGTAGAGCATGCAACTCTTGATCTTGGGGTTGTGAGTTCGAACCCCATGTTGGGTGTAGAGATTACTTAAAGAAAAAAATTTTTTTTAATTAAAAAAATAAAATTTAACAATCCTCAGTTCTCAATCCTATGGGCAGGGGCAGGCACAAACTGGGGCAATGTTTCTGGAGGACAACTTAACAATAGCTATCAAAAAATTTTTTTAAGATTTTATTTATTTATTTGACAGAGAGTGAGAGCAGGAACACAAGCAGGGGGAGTGGGCGAGGGAGAAGCAGGCTTCCCCCTGAGCAGGGAGCCCGATGGAGGGCTTGATCCCAGGACCCTGGGATCATGACCTGAGCCGAAGGCAGCCGCTTAACAACTGAGCCACCCAGGTGCCCCTAGCTATCAAATTTTAAATGCATGTACCCTCTAATGCAGCAATCCTAAAATTAGAAATTTATCCTATGGATATCCTTGTGAGAGTGACAAGAAATATGTCCCAAAGACATTCTCTGAAGCATGATTTATAAAAGGCTGGGGGCACTAAAAACAATTAAAGTGTCCCCTGATAGGGGCCTGGTCAAATACATCATGGTAAATTCACACATCAGAATCCCAGGCAGTCACTTAAAAGAATGAGTTAAAGCTGTAAGTATAGGTATTAAATAATCTCTAAAATAACAAAGTAAATTAAAAGGCTAAGTAGACTACAATGTATACATAAAGTTTTCTTCAATGTAACTTTTTCTTAAAAGATGAATACAGATACTTGTATACATTTTCCTCCTGGAAGGAAACCCAGGATACCCACAGTGATTACCCTTGAAGAAGACTGATATTTTTCTAACATTATACAGTTTTAGATTGGAGGGTTTTTAACCCGAGAATCATTGGCTGTTTTAAAAAGTCTATGAAACCCTTGAAATTGGATACAAAGTTGTAAATACGTGCATTCCTTTTGGGGAGAGGATGCTTCCCTTTTACATACTCTGTAAGGGTCTTACACCCCCACGCCCTCCCCGGCCGGGAAAGATTAAGAACCACTGTGTTACAGACTCCACATTGGTGCTAAGTTTTATTTTTTTTTTAAGATTTTATTTATTTATTTGACAGAGAGAGACACAGCGAGAGAGGGAGCACAAGCAGGGGGAGTGGGAGAGGGAGAAGCAGGCCTCCCGCTGAGCAGGGACCCCCCCCCCAAGATGCGGGGCTTGATGCGGGGCTCGATCCCAGGACCCCGAGATCATGACCCAAGCCGAAGGCAGATGCTTAAACTGAGCCACCCAGGCGCCCCTGGTGCTAAGTTTTAATATTCACTCACTTATTTACCCAGAAGCCATGAAACAACACTGGTCTGGGGCCCAGCACAGGCACCCAGAAAACCACCACCCATTCCTGCCCTGGAGAAGGAGATAGTTTGGAGCATAATGACGACATTGTCTGCTCGAGACTCAGAAATTGCAACAGGGTACAGCTTTCCTCTAACAGGAAGAAGGAAAAGTGGAACTGAAAATTATTTGCATGTTTAAAATTAGACCTTCTGTGGGAGCTGACACTACTTCGCTTTCAAAATGCCCCCTAATCCACCGTCTCAGTCCCACCAGCCCTACACCCAGGCATTTACAGGCCATGAAATTTCTGAGACAATGGGATGATTACAGCTATCACTAATAAGGAAGTAATAACAAATTTCCTACAGCTCCTGTCCTCTGAGGGGTCACCAGAAAAGCCACTGGAAAGCCATACGAGGTGGCGACAGAACTGCTGTGGGATTCTCTAGTCTGAGATACCTGCCGCTTCCAGGGATCTAGGCTTAGAGACCCTCTGCGCCCACTCATCCCTGTTGGGGGTGGAAGACAACAAGGACATCACACACACAGCCCGTATCACAACTGTGACTGGTTAGCTGAGGGTGATCGGAGTAACGTCTCACTCCCAAGGCCTGTAAGTCATGAAGGCAGGCTGCCTGCTGTGTGCCCAGTATTTCCCAAACTTAAGCAGTTTTTCACCTTTGCAAGTTTGCCATAACCCTATCATCCTTTCATAACTACCCAATATTTTTCTTTGGATCAGCTTTTTATTAAACATAAACAAATTTATATGCCAGGACACTACTTAGCCACACTCTACCTATAAAATCATGGACATGATAGGCAACTTACTATTTTTTTTTTTACTAATAACCCCTAAAATAAATAATTCTTAACATTTAAAAAAAAATGTTTTGTGACTGAGCTAAGTTCATCTTGCATGCCTGCAGGTGCCGCTCTGTGAGAAACGCTTGATTAAGTATTTGTTATATGACCTAATGATGTGAAGCCCCACTTCTTCTCCCCAAATAACAGCAGCGGCCACAACCTTAGACTCATGCTTTAGATTTCATATGGCAGTTCCTCTTCTATCATATTTGATCCTCTTCAACTGCCCAGTGAAGCAGGAAGTGTTGGTCCCATTTTCCAGATAAGGAAATGAGGAGTCACAGAGGTTAAGGGACTTGCCCAAGTTTATGCAGCTACTAAGTGGCAGAGCGAGGACCCGAAGCCAGGTCTTTCCACTCCAGACCCTGTCTCCACTAAGACTCAAGTTCCCAAAGCAACACGAGCAGTTAAGAGGTACCTGGGTTGTCCGTGTCACAAATGGAACAGATCCTATAGAGTACAGGATGCAGAGAAGCCAAAATGACTCCCTGCCCCATCAGGGTTCAGAACCCACGAGCCTGTTCTTCACAAGTCTTGTTACCTCATCTCTTACTTGCACACTGAAGACCTTCTCTAAAATAAATGACTTTGTACAGCACAGGACAGTAAATGGGGGCAGTGAAGGCATCAGACTTGTCTCTACCACATCCTAGTTACAAATCATTGGGGAGCACAGAACCTCAGTTTTCTCTCAGATAAAATGGGAACATGAACAACACCGACCTTTTAGTATTTCTGAAATGGTCAAATGAGATAATGCATTCAAACCCTGAGCACAGTACCTGCCACATATAATGTTACCTATTAATTATAATATTACCAGCAGCATTAGGTTAAAAAGGAAATACACAGAAAATTGTCTCTTACCCTGCACTCAAAATAATTCCCTTGGCCAAGCAGTGAATGGACTAAGAAGTAATTGCAGATGATGTGCTGGCTAAACCCAGGCCTACAGTCATTCAGCAACTCTACCTCGGCCTCAACCCCAAGCAAAAATTACTTTTAGGAGCTAAATAACCTCTTTGCCGACCGAAATTGCTAACTCAGGAGCCAGGATTCTCCCCGCTCAGGAAAGCTTGGGGATCCGTGGTTGTCTTCATCATAGGGCTCAACTCGAAATCAACTCAAAGTCACAGTCTAACCATAAACCCGTCTGCTCCATTTTCCTTAAACTGTCTGCAAACAAAACATAATTGTGTGGTTTTTCCGTTGTTGTTCTGAAGCAAAACAAAAATATTTAAAGTCACCCGTACAAGATTTTAGCAAGCAACTTAAAGAGGAGTCAAAATATTTTTTGTAGTCTGGATGAAGCAGGGGGGTAAGCAGGCTTAAGGATTAGCTATTATAGACCACAGACGCAGTTATTATTCACCAGGAAACAAGAACGCAAAGAAAAAGCAAATCCAAAACACCGTAAGACCAACAAAACAGCTATCAGTCACCAGCTTTTTTTCCTTTCTTTCTTTTCTTTTTTTTTTTCTTTTTTTCCATTTTAAAGCAGCCCACTATCAAGCTATTTCTTAAAGAATCTGTCAGGACCGTATTTCCCAAGAAAAGGAGGCAAGGGGGCTGCGAGAACAGGACTGCTCGGTCATGTTGCCTAAAACATCCACGTAAACCGAAATTAGTGTGCAAAAATGCTATGAGAATGGGTGGAGTCAGACATTGCAACTAGCACAGTCCTCATGCTGGAATCATCTCTGACCATCTTTCCCGTCCTGAAGAAGGGGAATGAGATGCCAGGGTCAGAAATGGCTTTTCCAGCCCTACTAAGCACTGAATTTTCAAAAATGGCTTTTCCAGCCCTACTAAGCACTGAATTTTCCTGCACCTCTGCTCTTCAGCTTCCACACCCATCCTCATTGATTCCCTCACAGAGCTGTCTCTTTTCCATGACTTGTCCATTTCCTAACCTGCTACGGTTGAGCCCACTTAAAACACACACACACATGCTATCCGAGCGTCGGAAAACCAATCAAATGTTAGGGAGGTAGTCGAATGCCTTCACCCACATTTCCTAAATGCACAAACTCCAGAAATCCCAAATATGACTTCCACTCTCAAATATGTTTCCTTTTGAAAAATGCAATTTACACCCACCGTTTGGGGAGTACACAGTGAGGTGGGGCTGTGCCTACAGTTAAAAGTAACAGCAAAGTGAAAACATGGCAAAATAAGGAAAAAAAAGAAAAAGCGTCATGAAAATACTAGGCAGAGGCAGGCAACACGGTCCCAGCCCCAGCTCCTCTGTTGTCTTGACCTGATTACCGTCTTCTCCAGGCCTCAATCTCACCTAAAAAATGAAGGTTTCAGGCTATCTTGAAAGTCTGGTCTGGCTCGAAAATTCCCCGAAATATCCACTCTCAAAATGAACCGTCACCTGTGGATTTTGAAAATGCTCCTTCAGAGAGCCTTTTAGATTTCCTATTTTATAATGTATCCCAAAACGAGAAATAAAAAGAGTTGCCTTGAGTTTCCACAGAACACATTAGAGAGGAAGGAACTATCTGAATAGGGGACAAGCAAAGAGCAGCAATTTGCTACCGAAATACAAGGAAGGATTGGGCAAGCAATCAATTTACCCCATTTTTTTCACTGATTCAAAGCATTGCTAGCAACCACCATGGACAAAGTAAAAACATAATATAATAAAAAAATACGTGTGTGTGTCAAATTAAACTAAAAATAAATGAAGAGCAAGTATTTCTTTAGTATAAACTTTGGTCCAAGAGATCCTCAATTATGAGGCAATTTTCTTTTTAATCTCATAGACTGCTCTCCATGAATTTCCTTACAGGGACAGGAAGAAGGCAGTCCACACACACTGTGCCTTAATGTAACCCCATCTGGACACCTTTTAATGTTTACAAAGCTCTTTCAGACATTGGCCAGTGGAAGCCCCTCAAACAATTCTTGGGGGCAGGCGGTGTTAGCCCACCCTACAAATGTCGTTAATGAAGGTGTCGGAAACTGAAGAGCATGTCCAACCCCGAAGTCCGGCTGTAGAGTTAGTCCAGTATTCTCTGCAGGAGGAGGTCACACTGCCTTCCAAAGTCTACTGAAGAAAACTGGGAGGGTATTTCTGCACCCAGAGCAACTTCTTGGGTGCTGAGAGTTACTGCAGCCCCCAAGCCCCAGCTCCCTTATCCTGACTGGTAGGCTTCTTTCCGGCCCCAAGGCTGATGGTTCTGCTCTCAGACAATCCTGTATCTGTGCTTGAAAAGTTTTCCCTGACACCAGGTACCATCCTCGACCAATAACTAATTTCCCAGGCTTCCAACATCATCTCCTTAGAACTGTTGTTTGTATAAAACAAGCAAGATTTTCATTAACAAAATGCACAAAAGGGGTATCACCAGGCCACTTTCGACCGCGGGTGCAGGACCCTAGCAGGCTCCTAGAAGGCTGTGAAGACGAACCCGCTTGCTCAGCTCCCGCGACCAGGGCTGGGTGATTCTGCTCTTTCACTTCTCCCTCTCAAGTTCCCTATCTGTGACATGGGAACGTCTCCCAGCTGCCCTGCCTCGCCCCCAATGGGAATATTATGAAGGGGAAACAGCGCTTTCAGAAAGGTCGGTCGCCAAAATGCCAGGCACAGCAGTATCTGAAAAGCGAAGCCAGAAAACAGGGCGGTGGGGGAGAGCCTGCGCCCACAAAGCACGAAATAAACGCCCAGGGAAGCAGGCAGCTTCTCCGGGAAAGGGACCGTCGCCTTGACGAACGCTTGCGAGTGGCCACCTTTGCCGGGGCTGGGGACTTCCCCCAGAAGCGGTCCCCTCGGCCCGGAGGCCCCGCGCCCGGCCCTGCCCCGGCTCCCCCGGGCCGCCGCCGCTGCCCTTCGGCCCGGCCCCTCGGGCCCCTGCAGGCCGGGTCGGAGGTCGGCCGCGCTCGGCCAGGCCGGCCCCGCTCCGCGACGCGAGCCCTTCTCAAACACGCCCCCTCCGGCCGCCGCGGGCGGGCTAGCCGGGCCCGCGCCGGCCAGATGTGACCAGCTCCGCGGAGGGCCGGGCCAGAGACGGCCTGGAGCCCGCGCGGGGGCTTCCACCGGGAGGCCACAGGCACCCCGGGACCCCGGATCCCGCCGTGCTCCCTCCGGGACTGGGCAGCCGGGGCAGGCGCTCGATCGCCCGCGCGCGAGGCCGGCTGGGTTCCGGCGAGCCCCCTCCAAGATGGGGGGCGCGGAGCCCTCGGGCCCCTCGCCACCTCCCGCGCACCCCGCAGGCAGGGCACACCGGGGCAGGTGCAGGGGATGCCAGTCCCGCCCCCACCCTCCGTGCCCGGCCCCCCCGCCCGGCCCCCGCGCCCGGGCCCACCCGGTCGCTCACCTGGCCCAGGCGCAACAGCAGCAGCAGCGGCGGCAGCGCCCAGCGCAGCCCCGACGAGCGCGGAGGCGGCCGCGCCTCCCGCGCCGCCCGCTTCATGCCCCGCGCGCCCTGGAACGTGCCCGGGACGCGCGAGTCGGGCCCCGCCGTGCGCCCGAGTGCGGGCGCCCTCGTCGCCGCCTCCAGCCGCCGCCTCCTCCTCCTCCTCCTCCAGCCGGTCCGCCTAGTCCCCGCTCCGCCCGCCCCGGGCTTCCCCGGGGACATGGCAGCGGCGGTGGCGGCGGCGGCGGCCACACGGCGAAGCCTGGCGAGGCTGCCGCGGGGGGGACGCGTCCCTGGGCGCGCAGGGGCTTCGCGGGGCGGAGCAAGCGGCGCCCACCCCCCGCGCGCGGCGCCCTGATCCCGGCTCCTGCGGCTCCGGCGGCTCCCGCTGCCTCCTCCGCGCGTCATGCGGCTCGGGCTGCAGGGAGCCGGCCGAGCGCTCAGCCCCCTCCCTTCCCCCTCCCCCTCTGAATATTCATCGCTTCCTCCCGCCCGGCCGGCCAGGCGGCTGCAGAGCACCGCGGCCCCTCGCAGCCCTCCCGCTACAGCCCCCGCCCCCGCCCAGCCGGCCGGGCGGGCGAGCCGGCGGGCGGCGGGGAGGGGGCGGTAGCGCGCCCCGCGCGCGCCCTGGCGGCTCCCCGCCGGCGGGCAGAGGAAGCGCCCCCGCCGTGCCCGCCCTCTCCGCCCAGCCCTCCCACATTCCTGGGACTCGGGACCCGGGACCCGCTCCGCGGTACAGGCGTCCCACCCTCGGCTCCGCTTCATGGCCCGGGGTTTGGGCCACCAGATGTTGACCGAGATCCCTGCCGAGGGCACAGCCAGGCCTGCGTTTAGACAACGACCCCGCGAAGGCCTGGTTGACCTGGCCGGTAGGAGGGCGTGGGGCTGAATGAACCCCTAAATTGTAGGAGACGCGCAGTGTGCTGCGTTCTCCCCACCCCCACCCTCCCTGGCAGGGAGGCAGAGAGCCGGCGTTGGAGCGGATCGGGGATTGGGACCCCAGCTCTGGCGTACGGTAAACCTGGCTCTGCTAGTAGGACTAGCTGTATGACATCGGAAGAGGCATTTCACCTCTCTGGGCCTCCCCACTCATCTGTGGAATGAAGATAATACTAGTACCCGTCTAGGAAGACTTGACTGACAATTACATGAGCTAACGGGCAGGAAGGTCCTAAGCACCTGGCCTGACACATAATGGGCCTCAGTAAGCACTCGCTCTTCTGGCAACTTTCATCGCATCATCGAAGAAGACCACGAGCTACAAGGTGTTCAAGATAACTGTTGATGTCCCTACTATGCCCGTGCACAAAGGAGAAAACTGAGGATCTGGGAGGCTAAGCCAGTTGCCCTAGGAGAAGTAACGAGAGAAAGGGCCAAGCCAAGGAGTGCCCGGAAGGGAGAGATGAATTCCAACCTGGGGGAGAAGTGACTCCTGAGCTCGGCTGTGAAGGATGGGTTGAATTTCACCAGGCAGATAGAGGGGGGCAGGGTCTCAGGAAGTGGGAGCAACTTGGCAAAAAAAAAAAAACAGGAGGCAGATGCTTTAGGCTTGTTCTTTTGAGAAGCAGGGAATGGGAGGCGGGGGGTGGTGGGTGTTGATATTCGGGGGAGATTTTGAAAGAGGAGTTTAGCAAGGTGCAAACCACCAGGTGTCCAACTGCCTCCAGACCCCTCTTGTACCTCAGGTTCCCCATCTGCAAGATGGGAACACACCTTCACTCAAAAGCTCCTACCAGACCATACACACAGGCAAGCACAGATGGTGTGGGGGACTTGACCTGCTGGCTTAAACACCTTGCCATCTTTTGTTTAAACATGATGTAATTATCATAATGCACAGGGAATTCTCTCCCTCCTTGCCTCTTTCCCTTCTTGGAGGAGAGACAGGTGATTTGAAAGGTAATAGTGTCCGTGAGGCCCAGAGGGAAAGAAAGCTTGACTTACTGCAGGAGCTGCCGGGTCTGCAGACTGCCGCAGGTGCAGACCCTACAGACCCTACAGTACAGATCCATCCAGGCCTCCCTGGCTTCACAGCTTGGATCTGCAAACAGCGCCATGAACTCCAGGGTGCGCTTTGATTTTTCTCTTGGGTAAAATGTATGCCCGAGTTTAAGTGTTGGTTGGAACTGGATTTCCCTACTCCATGGTGATGAAAGAGAAAACAGTCTTTTCAGCAAAGGGAGTTAAGACCTGAATAATAAACTATCTGTTCAGTCATAAACAGATCACACTGGATGAATGACCTCTATGAGAAATGAAATCAGTGCTGAGGAGGTGTGGTGTAAACTCCCCGAGGGCAGGGATTGGGCCTTTGTCACCCTACTTGCCCTACAACACTTGACTCTGTGCCTTGCCCATAGCAGGCACTCGGTATTTGTGCAGCTGCATGGTTGTATAAATGTATCCAGGGTGACCGTGATGTAAAAGTTCATTTTTCCACATGGATGCATTAAGGAAGGATCATTCACTTTGCAAAAGGATTTGAGACTAAATTCCAGTGTATAGGTCTCGCCTTCAGATGTCACTTCCCCTAGAACTTCCCAGATACCCCACCCCTGAGTGGGGCCCACTTCCCCTCCATGCTCTCATAGCTCCCTGTGCTAACCTTTTGTAACCAGTGTTGTAAGTGCCTGTTTATGTGACCATCTTCCTCAATGGACTCTAAGTAAGCCAACTGAAGACGAGGTCTGCATCTTCTTCATCGTCTCCCCAGCATATAATAGTCACCCAAATAATATTCAGCTAGTTGAATTGAACGCATTCCTTTGAATAGCAAACTAAGGTATTAGATATATGCCTGTTCTCTCCCTTTCTCCCCCCCAACACACACCCCAAATTCCATTTGCAAACAGCTTTTCGGGCATAAATCTACTATGCAAAAAACAAGGCACATTCTCTTTGAGAATATATAATGTGTGTGTAATGATAGTTGACCTTTTAATCATGTCCACCTTCAAGCAAAAGCTAAAGCTTTACTGAATATGGGGCCAGGTGCATAGAGAACAAAAGAGCCAAACCAAGAGGTTGGAGTAGAGGGTTCCTGGATGTGTTCCAAAACTGCCTGATAGGAATCACCTGGCGACTTGTTATGCTCCATTCCCATGCCTCTCCAGAGACTGCAGGGGATGAGGCCTGGGAATCTGTTTTCAACCAGCTCCTTGGGTAATTCTTGCTGTCAAGCAGGGTTGGAAAACACTATTTATCCTATGGCTGGCCTGCATTGTGTCCCTAATAAAAAGAAAGACCACTGATCAGTTACCTCCTAGGTTCCAGGCACTACTCTAGGTACTTTATAAATCTTTTTTTTTTTTTAAAGATTTTATTTATTTATTTGACAGAGAGAGACACAGCGAGAGCAGGAACGCAAGCAGGGGGAGTGGGAGAGGGAGAAGCAGGCCTCCCGCAGAGCAGGGAGCCCGATGTGGGACTCGATCCCAGGACCCCGGGACCACGACCCGAGCCGAAGGCAGACGCCCAACGACTGAGCCACTCTAGGTACTTTATATCCATTATTTCTACTCCTTATAAGAACCCTGCAGAACAGGTATCATTATCAATGTTTTACAAACCAGGAAACGGAGTCTCCGAGAGATTAGTTACTTACACAAGGTCATACAGCTTCAAAGTGGCAAAACCAGGATCTGAAACCAAATCTTTCTTGCCACTATGCTACGATGCCCCTCCCCTTGACACTTACAGATAAGCTAATGTAAAGTGCTCTCTGTGTTGGTTGCTACTATTAACTTTTGTTATTACTCTCCTGGGCCTCAGTTTCCCCAATTTTAAATGGAAAGGGACAGAGGCTACAAGACTTCCTATTTCACCCACAAAGGATGGAACAGGCAGAGCAACCATGTTTAATGATACAGCCATCATCCCACCAGGAGGCAAGCCTGCTGGGCACCAGCCTGGAACCAGGTCACTAGCCCCTCAGGGAGTCCATTCAGCCTGGCAACCCTCAGTTTATTTTAAAAGCCACCACGAGCAAACCATTCTCCAAAGCCCTCCTAAGCAGAATGGAATGTTTCTTGGGAGTCTGATTAGCTAATGTTGCAGGCATGGCTACCCTGAGACCTTCCTGTCTCACAGACTTGAACTGAATCAGAATGAAAAGGAAGACTTTTAGAAAGTTCTTCAAAAAAAAAAAAAAAAGTAGCACTTCATCTTTATAATAGTAACAGGATGTTTCCTGTGGACTAATAACTGGGCTGTGGTTAGAACTCCATGTTTGTCCACCAGACCTCAGTTCCTCCCTAAACAGTGCCTTAATCACCTGCGCATGCACCAAGCCAGGAAGTGCCTTGGCAAATGCCTTTCTTGTCTCTGACTTCAAGCACTTACAACATTAAGCATTTCCCTAATTCTTTTCTCGTGTGTGTGTGTGTGTGTGTGTGTGTGTGTGTGTGTGTGTGTGGTGTTGAGCTAGGAAACAAAGTTTGACTTACAAAGAAACAGTTGCATGTGACAGATTTTCAGGGCTGGAAAGAAAGCCTATTGTAGCACCTCAGGGTCTGGGAGCACAGAAACAGAGCCATTTCTCCTGAGTCCCCCATCTTTTCCCCAAGTTTAGGCACCCCTTGGGATCAGCCCACTGGCTTCTGCTCTCCTAGCTTGTTAGGTCCTGAGTCAAGGTCCCACTGAGCCCAGCACCTTTTTGTTCTGGCAGGACAGACCCAGGACCCAGAGTCTTAGGTACCTGGAAACACAGGGAGTGTGTGCCAAGGAGACTTGGAGCCTAGGGGACAAGGAGCTTTTGTCCAGGGCTTGAGAATGACTGCTGCATGAATACCAGAAGTGGCAGGCAGGGGGCAGGAGGCGGTCAAGCCTGAAGCAGAAACATCCGCTCAAACAAAGAAAGGCTGGAGAGGTGTAAAAGCAAGAAGGGAAGAGTGAGGAGGAGGCCCAGAGTCCCGGGGCTTCCTGGCAGCTGGGTCCTTCCAGGCTTGTTAAAAATGAATTAATTTTTTCCAGGATTGAAAAGGAATATCCTTTTTTTTTCCAGGTTGGAAAAAAATTATTCATCAAATTGTGCTGGATGTATAGAATACCCGGGTCCCTGCAGTTAGGATGAGAAACCAACTTGGGGGGGTGCCTGGGTGGCTCAGTCGAATAAACAGCTGGCTCTTGATTTCGGCTCCGGTCATGATCTCAGAGTCCTGGGATAGAGCCCCTCATCAGGCTCCATGCTCAACGGGGAGTCTGCTTGAGGATTCTCTCTCTGTCCCGCTCTCTCTGCCCCTCCCCCGACTCGTGCACACTCTCTCGCTTCTCAAATAAGTAAATAACTCTTTTTTTAAAAAAAGAAATCAGCTTGGAACAGTTGTAAAGCAGAATCTTGCTAGTTGGGAAGAAAATACTCTGCAATCTAAATAAGCAAATAAAAATCATGTATGACAACATAGTTTTATTATGTATATAAATGATAAACACATGTGT